TAACTAAGTTATTCACAACGTATGACGTTAACCTTACTCGGCCTGCGATTATTATCCAATCTTCATAGGTATTTAATATGCAATCATTTTACAAAAACCTATATTTCTAAAAATGCAGTACCAATAATAATCGATCATAGCTCTATTAATTCAAAATTTTACTAGATTCATTGCTTCCATTTTGCATACTCGACGGTCCGACGAAAAGAAAAATAATGCGATAATAAATTGTCGCTATCGCCGCCGGTAATAAATAAATTGCGATCAACAAACAAACACTTGACCCGTCAAAATAGCAGGGATTATTCAGCGGGAGCCGTATTACCATAGATTTGGCTACAGATCGCCTCTGAAGACGCCATCTCGTATGCGCCTTACCCCGCGTGCCCACCGACAAACTCCTGCGCACCCAGCAGATGCTCCATTAATATTTCATCACGCATACATTGAACACAATTTGTAGTCCGGTTGCTATAGGTGCCAACAAATTTTTTATCCACACATCTGTCAGCTGAAACATGGAAATTTATCAGTTTTGAAAACACCCACCAAGCAGAGCTTGGAACCGGTTTATATAAAACCCTTAATATTGAAAGTAAACAAACCAATTTAGCTCAGATAGTCGCTGCCGTTACGTTTAAAATTTCTCACTGTAACTCTGTTGAGTCCGTCGAATCAGTCGATTCTGCACGTCAGTCACATCTCTCTCAAGTCTGTCATGAACATCACTGACAAAACAGTCCACTGTGAACTGCACGATACTCTGCCAGCCAATCATATTATACTTGTAAGCCAGCCGTTTCGCCGTCACGGCAATGCTGCTCATCGCGAATTTGACTTACGAATACAACAACACAACACAAATTAATACGACTACACCAGCATTATCTATTGTTACAGTGTTGGGCCAGCTAGAAAAGTTCCTAAATTAACTGTTTATATCGTGCGCATCGAACGTAAATTGTGAAAATCCGATAATTATAAGAACCGGTTAAAATATCGGCACCCGAAAATAAACTGCAATAATATCGTTTGGGTTCATTAAACCCAAAACCGATTAAAAATTTTACCGGTTCCCAGTCCCCGATGGAGTACGGATATATGACGGGCTATCCATATCATTCTGAATACTTTTTTTAAACAGGAAGTCTGAGCAGACCGTTCAATTTATTTTTAGTTTGTGACCATCAATTTGAATTTTATTATTACGAATAATTCGTAACAGTACAATAAAAAGAAAGTAATATATATATATATATATATATATATATACACATAACTGCTGAAACAATAAAAAAATAATATGCAGTCTTATTCCCTTTTTGGACATAGTATAACCAGGTACTTGGTATAATTCTAGGGTCGACGGACTAAAGCACTTAAGGCAAAAAAGTGCTTCATTTGTTAATAGTACAATAATATATTTTTGTGTTGTTTATAGTGTTGGAAGATGTGAAGAGAATGATAAATTAGAAAAAGACGCCTCTAGAATAAAGTTACAAATTTATGAAGTAAAAAAATAATTTTACTTATGTGCTTTAGCCGGTAGATGATGTTGTGTGCTTTATACAGCTTATTGATACCACCCACTTACAGCAAAAAGCAAAACCCGGCAAACATTTTTCAGTAGTATATAAACCCTTTATAAACTAAATGAGTCGCTGTTGACATTTCATTTTTGTGGCATACACGGCACACATTCAACAGTTGCTGTATAAAACAAATCACGATATAGTAAAATATGTTCTGTTTTTGCAACGAAACATAGATTGATTGCAACAATTATGGGATGTTCCTCGAACATACATTCGAAATGCGTTGCATTCACAACTAACTTTTTTTGGTGTCTACCATGCTAATGTACGAATGGAAATAAATGATGTCTTCAAAAGCTAGAATCGTCGTCCCATTTGATATTTTATGTGGATACAGATATTTGACTGCATAAAATATCGTTGGCTACTCATTTAAACAATTCAAAGCATTGTTTTATTGAATCAGAACTGTACTTACACCGACATAAAACTTTCTGTTAGTAAATAGACTACAGATATTTAAGGGTATTTTAGCTTCTATAAAACCGACTCCACTGAGTGGGGGTGAGTTGGCATCGTCGAAAACAGCAGCAAATATGACCTGCAGCTTTATATATATGTATATGTATTTAAAAAACTGTAGGTAATATTTGCCACTGCCTTCGTTGAGTAGAGACACTATTTTATAAATAAATAAATAACGCACACACTCAACATAGCCCCGCACTAGGAAAACCCTGTGTCGCGGGTGCCATGGACACACACATAGACAACCACAAATTACACCCAAACTCACGAGACAAATAATTGTAGGCCATACAAACATTTCTCCAGGCCCGGGAATCGAACCTGGGACCTCTGCGTGGCAGTCCGGCATGGTAACCGTTCGGCCACGGAGGCAGTTAAGCTACTATACATATATTATACATATATTATACATATTAGTGAAGTTAGGAGGAGCAACATGACGTTGTTAAGCGTGATCATTCGTGCTGGTATTATAAGGTTATCGTATCACACACTTTCATCTCGTGGTGCCGACGCAGGACGCGTCCAAGTTAAAATCGATTACGCCTCCGCTTTAAAGCTATGAATAATTTAACTGATCTGTATGATTGACTCATTGTTAAGTTTCGGTGTCCTATGAGGTAATGTTCGAACAAATTTGATCCGGAAAGAAAGTGACCTTAAATCAAATTGTAAATATAAGCAGTTACTCGTGTGCGTACAAAATACACTTAAAACTTACTTGTATTTAACTGCTTTGAATTATACATATTCGATGTACCACCCCATTGGCAGACTACATATAGGATCTTGTACAACGTACTTGAAAATAGGTTCTCACTTGTGGTGTATCATTAGTTTAGGTACCGATGTGTTAAGTAAATTTACCAACTGGACAAAGGTGACAACGAAAAGACTCCAACTTGTTTTTGTTTCTCACAGACACTAATATATTTCCTGATATAAATACCTAAGCGAGACGTTTATTTATAAACTTGATCGTTTCTCATTTTAAATTCGTTATCGGCGTTTTTACTTGTCTTCAAAAAAAACTTAAGCGTAACTCGTCCGCAGTGGCCGGTGTGGAAAAAAGTTGTACGCGGAAAAATGTGGAGGTCGAGGAGAGCGGGTTCCTGTGTCAAGTGTCACTGGCAGGCGCGACGAGGGCAGAAGGCACGACCAGCCATTGTACGTGAGACACGACGAGACGAATCGCGAGACAGGCTTCATGACCCACGTAAAAGCAGTCACGAAATTATTCTGACTCTCACCGCCACCCGTCACCAGCTGCCAAAAACTATCCACCAGCTCTCTTCCCACGAACTGTATTAAATGGCATTAAGTACATAAGGTATGATGTTTTAGCCAAGACGACGAAATTCCTGCTAAAGCGTAATATTTGCAATTGTAAAAAAAACCGACTTTTCGCAGTTTAAAAAACATTCTAAAAGCGTAACTCGTACTCTTTTAATGTCCACGTGTGATCATAATATGTCAAAAGTGCTTCTAAGCCATGAAGGTCGTAAAAATAATACGAACTACATAAAAGTAATTTAAACAGGGAAAAAATTGATTGAGAAGACATCAAATGAAGAAGTTGCAGAAAGGGTTCAGAAAGAGAAAAATCTTTTAAAGACAATAGAAAACAGAAAGAGGGAAATGTTCGGACATCTGTTACGTAGTGATGAATGTATGAGAGTTATAATTGAGGAACATAGTTGGGAAAAGAAAGAGGGAAGGCCAAGAACGGGGTACAATAAACAAATAAAGAAGAACAGAAAAGAAAGCACCTATAAAGTGGTCAAGGAACTGGCGATCAGAGCCTCGCTCTTAAATAATATGATATATATTTTCTAACTAATTAACTAGTTTCGTTAATACAATATTTAAACCTCCATCCTGAAAAGTTGTCATTTTGCAGATGTGGCTAGAGCTTTAATCTCGAGAATGTGGATCTCGACAATTTTTTGAATTATTTACGAGACTCGAGGCTGACTGACGTTTTCGGTCTCTGGAATATCATGACTTTTGACACTTAAGTCAATTAAAAAGTGTTTAAAATTATTTTTAATTCTGGTTACATGGACATGGCAATATTATAAAATGGATCTTAGTACCATTGACTTATTTGTTAAGTCAATGCTTAATACCTACCTATAATATGTGACGATTGAAGAATGGTCATTATCAAAATCAATTCCTCTCTATCAGTACAATTACTGAAACACCCTTTGTTTCTTAAGTTCGATATAAAAATGAAAAAATAATTTGCGTAATTTTTCATTTTATACTTTTAAGTTAAGAACTCGATATATTATCATGTGTTTTGACTGCCTAAATACCTATATGAAAACCTACTTTTGAAACAATCTCGAAAGTCTCGTTTTTCTCGGAATATTCGAGACCGCATCGAGACTTGATATTTTTTTCCCAGGGCGCGTAAATGCAACGAGACTACAAGACCTAGACATGGCCTTATTACACCAATAAGTGTGCGAAATATAAATTAATTGTGTACGCTGTGACAGTGCAACGTGACGCTTCGTTTTGTAATCGCCACAAACAGTTCCATGTTATGACAACAAATTATGTTATCGTTTTTATTTTCTAACTAAGTATTATGTAATCTAGGGCGTGTTCTGTAATTGGATGCGCCATGTGCGGAACAAAATATACAATTGCAGACAAATGTAGACTCGTCGTACAAACTCTCCAAAGATAGGAAATCTCTCCACCCTATCCTGCAAATGGATTAATTGATACTGTACTTAGATTTCGATGGTTACAACATTGAACATAAAAATCAGAAACAAATGTATGGAGAAGCGGACAAAAACTATATTTTGTTTGAAAAATATCTAATCTTTTATTACATGCAATATCTACAAAACATCTAATTTAATGATAAGATACTTAATTTATACATGATTACAACAGAGAACTTTTGCTATTATTATGAATTAAGATAATAATTAGTTTTTTGCTATGTTTTACAATGAACAATACTTCTTTCTTAATTATGTACTCATATACCAAATTTTAATTATCTAAAAACTAGGTTAAAATTTTTATACATCTAGAGGTCCTAAGAAATTAAATTTTAGGTACTTTAGTAAATATGGTAAGGTACCAGATACAATGACATCAACAATTTAATGCTTTATTAATAAAAATATGGAAAGCAGTAACAATAAAATTTTCCTGTATGTTGCTTCTGGATGTGTAGTTTGGTTTATTCAGTCTTGTTTTTAACTGTATATAAAATCTGATTTGTCTGATGGATCAAATATAAAGCACTCACAAACACTGCATTCGCCCTGAAAAAATAAATAAAATTAGTATTTCTGATATTGAAAAAGCATAATTTGGAAACTTGCTGTAAACAGGTAACAAATAGAATATAATAGTCTTCACTTTGATTAGCACATGACCTTAAATAGTAATTCTTTAAATAAATCTCCGATGCCCAATGGTTTGCATTGTGGGCGCTGTGGAGGTCCCAGGTTCGATTTTCGTTACATTTGGAAAACAGACTTCCAAATTGGTTCTGGTGTGGGTGTTCTGTGTAGTGCCCCAAAGTAAATTCAGTAGTTCTGGTGCTCATATTCAGGGCTTGGAAAAATATGTAGTTTCATTTAAAATATAAATTACTTAATATTTTCTTATATATATTAAAAATATGAAATAGAAAAAACGGAATTTTGACTCCATTTATTTAAAGTATAAATTTAAAAATGCAATCATTACCGCTAACCAGACCACAAAAATATTCAAAATATTAATTACTTTACTGTCAGATATTTGAAATTTCAATTACAAAACACATTTTTAGTTAATTATTACGTAATCCAAAATGTTAAATGTAATGTGTACTAGTACAAGATGACGAGTGAAGGTGTAAGGTAAAACCAAAATTAGTTTTTGGGACACTGGACAATTATAATATACTTGTAAATTCTGTTATGTTTATAATAAATAAACAAAACAAATACTGCCAAGCATGAATGAGCAGGCTCACAGAATAGTGAATTTCCTAGTTAGGTACCTAATTAGTGTAGCTGTCTAGTGCTTTAGCTTTATAGAAATTAAAATTTCTAAACAGGCCATCAAAATGCTGTGTCAATGAAATTTAGGCAGTGAAACTTAATTGGCACTAGGGCTTAATATGAAAGCACTTGCTAATATGTTTTTTTATGACACTAAGTGACGGGACAAACAAGTTGTGCCCCTGATGGCAAGCGACACACAAAACAGTTGCAGTGCCGCTCAGAGCTCTAAATCGCAAAGATCTTAGGGGCACTGCCACTGCGGCCGTCACCGTGAGACATAAGTTGACAAATCCCAAGTGCCTGCAATTTCACCAACACCCCTATCCTCCCAAACTGGAACACAGTAATATTCATATTACTGCTTGATGACAAAAATAGGTAAGGTGGCAGTACTTCCCAGGATGAACTCTTTCACAAGGAGCTCTACTGCCACTACATATAGTATGTTTTGAACTAGTTGTTTATGTTACATGACTAATGTTAAAAAGTTATTGCGCAATCATCTGTCATGCTAGACTGTAGTATGACATAATAAAATTATTCTTTCTTTCAATTGGAAGCACTATTGTATTTTTTTATGATTAAAAGACTTAAAACTGACACAAGTATTAAATTACCAACTTGGATACTTACTGTCCCTCCTTGAAGTACTCCTTTAAAGTATTTGAAAATCTCTTGGAATATTTTACAAACTCCCTTTTCCTCTGCTCCAATACCTGTTTTCCAGGACCTGGAGTGTACTGCGACACTTCATTTACTGCATCCAACAGCTTTTTAATAGCTGAAGCTATTTCCCTGTAAAAATAAATATTAATTTAACAAAGAATCTGGTGAACAAAATGTTCTGTCAATAACTTTATTTGTATAGATTATTATTCTTGTTCTAGCAGATATAATAAGGCAACAAGATATTATTGTAATAATAACTTAATTATTTTTTACTAAATACCTTGACTGCAACCACTTGTCATTATAAATTATAAATTAATTACTTGCAAACTTGTACTAACATTAAGGATATGTCAATACTTGTCATTATAAATAACAAATTGATATTATTATAATTTCTTCTTCTATTAAATGTTATGGCTCCATCGAAATAACAATGACTTAATTCATATTTAAAATATAGTCAATCTTATCAGCTAAGCATGGCATGAAAATAAATTAGGATTATTATACTGATACTCTACAATATATAATATAAAAATCATAATTACTTAATTGTTTCAAGAAAAGTCTTCCTGTCAGTAATTTCATCTGGAATGCGGCTCAATATCTTCTTCAAAGCTGCCGATTTCTTGTTAAGCTCTTGGAATGCTTCTTCTGATCTATTTAACTTTAGGTCAGCACCTGTCAATATTTTATCAATTAAAAGAGCAATGCTATATATAGAATAATCCAAAATTAAAAATTATATTAGAATACAAAACGTAAATACATATTTCAATTGATGTAGACCATAAATTACATAAACATAGTAAGAATATGAGACTACGTAATACATTTCAAAATAATGAACAACCAACTTGTCTAAATGATATTAATAAAGTAGTTTAAATAGTTACATTCAGACTCCGTAAGAGTCCCTTGCAATCGCAGTAGGCTCTCATTCATGTTGACAGGAATATCTGCTCTTCGCATAATGCCAGCCACCAGATCAAAGTTTAACCCTGGTACAGTCGCCTCAGCCTTTGTGAGCGCCGCACGAAGTGTTTGTGACGCACCCAGATCATATTTTTCTAGCTAGAACACAAAATTTCCGCAATAACACACAATTTTCCAAAACAACTTTCAGAAAATAAAACACGTATGTTATGGTATAATATACTTACACTCTACTTGAAGATACAATTCTGTGGGTCTAGTGAAAATGGATACAAGTAAAAAAAAGCAAACTTTACGAGGAAACGCGAAAAACACTTGACGCTTAATATCTAAGCTTTAACTGTTTGTCGCGTCTCCTTGTATAAGTTAGTTGGTATTTTGACTTGTACCCCTTTATACTAGAGCTACAGAATTAATTTACAACCCAAGTACTTTACAAGTCATAGTCTATGCATTATCTCAAGAAACGTAACACATACCAAGTTTAACTAACTGTAATGGCGTAAGTGATTATTTACAGATTGTTGGGTTAGGTGAAAAGGATTTTAGTGTGAAATGCGTAAAATCAACGTCTTATAAATTCGTGTAACAATACAAACCTGAGTTAAAACTGGACGTATGAGAACAGGCAAAACCAATGAGGTGACAGGCAGTTCATCGCCCATTGTCATTGTGGCAATTTAATTAGGGAAACGTACACTCCAAAACAATGCTCTGTACACTTGATTTTCGTAGTTTCCCCTTTGTTCCTCTTGAATATTATCATAAGCAATATACTGAACTGAAAATTACAATTTTCTGCAGTGTAGATCTTATCTTTCTAATTTGTAGATCTACTTTCTGACTTTGCTGTCCTGTGAAACTGTCATAGACAATGCCAATCAATTTTTTTACAGCAATATAATGTTGGATAATTTTCCAAAATTTTTCAAATAGGAAATTTTTCCGGAATCTGAAAAATTGGGAAAATTTAAAAATATGAAGTTAGCAATTAAGAAAAAAAGAGATTTGAAATGATTACAGCGAAAAAACCTTTTTGTTAGTAGCTCCATCGTTTTCGATCAGTAACTCAACTTTTTCGACAGGACGTCAAATGTGGAAAAATATTGGAAAAATATCTGGAAAAATGTTTATATTTCTGAAAAATAAAATTTTTTCAAAATATAATTTTTTCCATGAACCAACGCTAGATATAAGTTTACATACTTAGGTGAGTGATTATTACTCAGGGTTGTATTCTAGAACTCTACTCAATGCTCAAGTCAGGACTTGAGTATGATTTCAAGCGGAGTTTTTATTCCAGAACATAGCGTAGAATCTGTAAGCGGTATTCACCTGAGTAATGTCAGAGGAAGTGACAGATTGCGTCTTGTTAGAAAAGAGATTGCGTGGTGTGTGCAAGCTGCCTTTTACAAATTTTTTGAAATCTGAAAAATGTCAACTGTCTCCAAATTCTCTCGTGCGAACCAGCTAGTTTAATATCATAACTCACAGGACATTGGCGAAATCGCCATTTTTTTGTATAATTTTTATAATAATATTAAACTACCGTACATAGTTATTTTTACTTGACATTGGCAAAATCATTGATTATTTCGATGGAGCCATAACATTTAAAAGAAGAAGAAGAAACTTAAATTACCAATTTGCTGCCTTATTGTGGTTTACATTCATCGTCGACTGTTGTATCAACAGGGCGGAAGACGTGTATGTATATAAATAAACCTACACATTAAGTTGCAGTAGTATGTCCAGTGACAATCAGAGGATAGTCGCTGACAGAAGTGATTCGAGTTGTACTTGTGATTCATATGCTGGAACCATGAGCAGTACGCCTGTTATAGAAAAACTTGATGGTAATTCGAACTACTCAACATGGAAGTTCAGATGGAGATGTACCTTATAGATGCGGACCTATGGGAGTACGCGAGTGTCACACCCGATGCTACGGATATTCAAGGTACTAAAAGAGACCAACGAGCAAGAGTAAAATATTTGTTTAATGATAAAACTTCATTGTCTGATTCATGCCAAGAAGGCAACCAACGCCAAACGTGAGACGCCTTAAGGAATGCATTTGAAGACAGGCTTAAACAATCGTTGTAGATTACTATCGAGGCTAGTTAGCTACAAGCATGAAAATTTTTCAATTGTAACAGATTACGTCAATGCGGTAATGACAACATCTCAAGAGCTGTCAGATCTTGGAAAAGAGGTAGATTGAGAGATGATGAGCTTTTGGCTGCATTATTATTCCAAGGCCTAACACAGGATTTTCAACCTATGAGACTAGCGATAGGAAATAGTAACATTGAGCTTACTACTGACTATGTCAAAACCAAACTTTTCCAAATGGAAGAAACGTTCTCTGCTTCTACGTCTGGTACTCTGACATCCTCTGCTTTGTTATCCAAACAGAAAAACAAAAAAGCCTCAAACACATGCTAAGAAAATTAAATGTTTCATCTGTAACGGACCACACAAAGCGTCTGTTTGTCCAGATAATCCAACAAAACGAAAAGAAGCGCTGAATACGTTTGCTTTGGCAACTGAAGTTTCTCAAGACGAATGGATCCACGATTCTGGTGCTTCATCATACATGACTCATAAAAAGGAATGGTTTAAGGACTATAAGAGTATTAATTCTCTCACATTGTCATGTGCAAATGGTGCTAAAGTATATGGAGAAGGAAAAGGTACAGTAGTATGTGAGTCATTAGGGATGACTGTAAGTAATGTTATGTATATACCTAAATTATCAACTAATTTACTGAGTGTAAGTACCATTGCCGACAAAGGGTATGTAATAGTATTTGGCCACAAGAGGTGTGAACTGTTTAAAAGTGATGAATGCAAGATTACTGGTACAGCATTTATCAAAGGTGTAGAAGAGAAAGGCGTATAAAAGTTGAAACGGTGCTGTTTACAAGGCTCTGCTCTCGCGTCCACAACTGAGCGTAATGAGATGTTGGGCCTGTGGCACCAAAGGATGGGACATATTGGTATGCGCAATCTCTTATTATTAAAAAACAAAATGGCGACAGGGGTAAGTTTTCCTGGAAACTATTTGAAACTGCAGTGTGTATCTTGTTTAATGGGAAAACAAACGAAACAACCTAGGAAAAAGAACACAAGTGCTGTTCGAGCCACAGACGTGCTAGGTCTGATCCACTCAGATGTCTGTGGGCCGATGAATGAAATGTCTTTCGGCAAATGTCGTTACTTTCTTACCTGTATCAACGATTTCACGCGTAAAGCGTTTGTGTATTTCTTAAAGAACACAAAACAGTCTAAAAAACGAACCCTGCATATATACAAGATCCAGAGGTAGTACAGTTATCATCCTAGCAGTGTATCTTGACGATATGTTAATATTCTGGAACAACAGAGAAGAACTTCAGAAGGTCAAAGAAGACCTGATGTCCAAATTTGAAATGAAGGATCTTGGACAAGCAGATCTTATTTTGGGTATCAGAATTACCCAAAATAAAAATAGAGCAAGAGAAATACGTCGAAAAACTTCTCAAAACGTATGGCATGGAAGATTGCAAGACAAGAAAACCCAGGTATGCGCGTTCAGCTCCAAAAAATCCCCATTCCTTCCACTTCCCTATTTTCAGGGTACAACGCTGACGCTGCAGGACAAGCTCAGCCTACTGGGGATGAGCATCCGGAAGGACATGAACAACAAAGAGTATATCGAGAGCGTCATCTGTACCGCGTCGCGCAGGCTTGGCATCCTGAACAAGGTGCACCGATTTTTTTACTCCAGAGCTGCGATACCTGTTGTATAAAGCTCAGGTCCGAAGCAGCATGGAGTACTGTTCGCACCTTTGGGACGGCTCTGCCAAGTATTGGCTCGATGCCCTAGATGGACTGCAGCGCTACGCCTTCCGTGTTGCCAACGATCCTCATGTAACTGAGCATGCGGAGTCGTTACAGCTTCGCAGAGATATAGCGTCTCTTAGCGTATTCTATCGCCTGTACCACGGTGAAAGCTCTGAAGAGTTATTCAACCTTATCCCTTCCTCTCCTTTCCATCAGCGGACCACCCGTGCCGGACTGCGTTGCCACAGTTGGACGGTCAGTTCAATACCGTCCCGCACTAAAAAGTTTGGCAATTCGTTTTTATGCCGAACCATCAAATTGTGGAACCAACTCCCGGCGCATGTATTCCCTCCCCTCTATAACATCGGGTCCTTCAAACGTAGTGAGAAGAAGCATTTGGCCAGACTGGCAAAATGATAGTGACGGAGTGAAGATATTTGTGTTTTCCATCCGTTACTCTCATCTCTGGACTGTATTCGCACTTTCCATTAGGCGCAGTGCAGTCATTTTGCCGAGTTACAATAAAAAAAAAACAAGTGCTACTCCGGCAACACCCGGGTCTCATTTGTCAAAAGAAGGAAATTCTGAGAAAAAAACTAATGAAAGCACTCCCTTAATGTACCTGTCTGTGTGCACTACACCGGATATAACTCATACGGTTGGCACCTTAAGCCAGTTCAATACTTGTTTCACACAAGAACATGGGATAGCGGCAAAAAGAGTTCTAAGGTATCTTAAGAGGACAAAATCCTATGGAATAAAGTATTCTAAAAACTGCAGAGACTTTGTCAGAGAAGCTGTAGAAAACGAGCAGGTTGTAATAAACTACATTGAAACAAAACGTACGGTTGCAGATGTTTTAACTAAAAAGACTTAGTGAAAGGGAAATTTGAATGGTGTGTGTATATGATGAGTTTGAGAGAGTGTTTGATTGAATGATTTCTTAAAATTTAAGGAGGAGTGTTAGAAAAGATCAAAATTCTCAAATGGTTTCATCGTAATCTTGTAATTTTCTCGCCGATTATTATGTACTCAAGCGCAACCAAGACCTCACTCAAGTAAATACAGATTTTGACAACACTCAAGACAAGATTTTACAGTTGAGTACCGTTTAGGAAACAGTAAAACTGAAACGTATCTCAAACATTGTTCTAAAATTAAGACGCAAGCTGTCACTTCCTCTGACATTACTCAGGTGAACTACCATTACAGATTCTACGCTTGAGTAATGGAATAAAAACTCCTTCCGACCATTAGGGTCGTATTCCAGAACTCTACTTAATGCTCAAGTCTGCTCAAATCCTGACTTGAGCATTGAGTACAGTTCTGGAATACGACCCTTAGTATCTCACTAATGTTCTAACTAGAGTAGAGTAAACAATAGTAAAATGGTTTTAAATAAATAAAATATCCTTACAGTTTTATTGTGACATCGTCATTACTGAATTTTATGACATTGCACCTTTTCAGTTCCATTTTTTAAATACTCAAATTATTAGTGACTCTTCATTTTATTCAGTAGGGATAGCACGATGAAGCGCGACTTGCGCGAGGTCTCTATGGGAGAATAGCAGTCTCACACTTCATGTCGCTATCGTACTAGTAACGCACTTCAGCTAGCCCTACAGATGGAAAGTGCTCTTGCTTGCGACGTATTGTTTGCTTAAAACTCAAATCTCATGGAAATATCGTTTCGGAATTTCGAAGGCAGCAAAACCATAATCTTATCACAGTACTTTTCCGTTCGATTTTTTTTCCGATTTCAAATTCTGTGTGATGGGTTGTGCATTTGGAAATCCGCACGGAAAAAGCCGTTACATAGATTCTTCATAGAGTCCATAGAGATAGTTGTAAGTAGAGATCCATAGATTTTGTAGGGCGCAACACGCAGTCTGCGAGAACATAGGACCGAAGTAGTCTGTGATCGGACTCGTCCCGCGTTTCTCAGCTGACTCTTGCTATTCAGAACGGAAATAACATATGTGGGTATGTGTATTTACGGAGTCTCGAATCGATACTCCGAAACGGAATTCCGACTGTATGTGGCTGGCCTAACAGTTAAGTAGGCGGGCTAATTAAATTGCAGCCGCTGCAGCGGCTTGAATGAGAACTTCGCAAAAGTCATTTTTTGGCAAATGCCTGCTTCCAACAAATCAATATATTTTTTTTTAGACGATTTTGTTACAAATTAATGATGATAGTACTGAAAGAAAATGCATTTAAATGTAATTAAAAGAAGTTATTATGGCTACGGTTAACTTAAAGAAACTTGGGCTAGTGGCTGTGCTTATCCTTTTTACAGTCAAATAATCGATCGATTTCGTATTCTACCAATTCTTCCAAATGTCTCTAGAAGCCACTTATGTCAATGTCAACCTTTCCATTCGCTCTGGGCCTTTTGGAGGGAAAAGTGTCGTTTTTATTTTGACTTCATTGACTTATGTTTGACTTTCAATTATTTTGTGAAATTTAGTTTAAAGTGGAATAGGATAGTGCTATCATGCCTTAATCGAATATTAAAACGCGAAATTATACGAATCTCGAACTAAAATACCCGTATCGGCCCGTTCTAAGGAATCCGGAGTCAATCCAAGTACGCCGCCTCAAATTGCTTATCCTCTTTGTGGCGGCCATGTTTACAGAAATATAATTAAAAGAAGACATGGCTCAAAGGACTTATATCCATGCCAAAATTATTAATAATAAAAAAAAATCAATCTTTCAAAAAAAAAAAAAGTCAATTGTATGTCATTTTCTTGTTTTCTTTTTTTGTGAAAGCGAAAGAGAAGCAAACTAAATTATTTTTGAAAAAGTTTTTGTACAAAATTGCGTTATAGAAATGGCTAAGAATACCTCTAATTCAGCATTCCGCAAAATAGATATAGATCAGTACAACGAAGACAACTTCAGGGATGATGAGGCTGAGCAAGCCGTGCGCACCGGACCAGACGAGGGCGAAGTCTCCAATTTACTCAATCAATATCCTTTACTAATAGTAATGTCGCATTTCAAGATTTTACGTACAGTTAATATCCCGTGCCACTGAAAATAGCTACTATTTTCTTTAAGTACTTGCCATCACTGAATACTCCACTTATGACTCATGATATTGATAACACGTACTCGCAGTAACATTAACCATACTTCACATATTTTTATTTTTTGTCTTATGACTTACTAAAACAATATTTTATTTCGTATGGTTGTATTAACTAGTAACAAAGTAACATTGCATTATATATATATAAATTCTATAAATGGATAATTTTAATGTTTTCGTATAAAGCAATTTATTGATTGAAAATGAATTACATGAGTATTATACTGTAGTAACATAATGGTCACGGTAACAGGATGGTACAGTCCCACTGAAATTCAGTAGAGCCAGTTCAGACCTACGTTTATCTTAGTCCAGGATGCTGGCCCAGTGCTGGATAAAAATTTGACATATTTTTAACTATTTTTTATTATTATTTATTACAATTTGTAGGGATACTCTATAGGTATGTCACCTGGAATTGTTTTTTTAACTCATAATATACAGGACGTTTGGTTGATGCCCTAAGGCATGTATTAAGCAATGCTCCAATGGGGTCTTCTAACCAGGAAGTGAAGGTAAGTGTTTATAATGAAACTGATATACATTTTTTTAGTAATGTACTATCCAAAAATTACTTCAGTTTGCTATCACTTTTGTTATCTTCATTACAAATCAATTTATTTATACACCCTGACCCTTTTGAATAGAAGCATTATCCATTAAGACCATTATGAAATTTTATTTTATTTGATGTCTACAAAATAAATAACAAATATGACTTGCTAATCCAAAGGTTGTAAAATAATATTAGCAAATTAACATCTACTCATATTACAAACCAAAACTAATTTTAAACCTCAGTATTTTACAATATAATGTACACAATTAAGTTATAAAAAAATTATGTTTTATTTTTTAACAGGATAATGCTTTGGCCCTGACTTTAAGAGTTCTTTTGGCGATTAAGTCTGCACAAATAGAAGATGTTATAGGCAATCTTTCAAGAGATGACATCGATGTTCTGATGAAATACATTTACCGAGGGTTTGAGAACCCTTCAGAAGGCTCCAGTGGCCACCTCCTGCTGTGGCATGAAAAGGCTTACAACATCGGTGGATCTGGATCTATAGTCAGAGTTCTTTCAGATAGAATGAAAGTGTAAGACTTAACTTAATGTAATTCCATTTAGTATTGTTTTTTTTTAATTTTTGAAGCTAAATAAAATGTAATAAACATTTAATGTTGTTTAATGTTTTAACAATAATAATTGCATACCCCTAAGTTAGTAAAATAAATAACTAGCTGACTTACCAGGCCAGACTATACTTTCACTGCATTACAAAAACTTACTATAACTTACCCTTGGAAAAAAATATGCTTGCATTAATCCATAATCCTATATTAGAAAATTAAGTCTTGAAAGTCACATGAGCGTCAAAATATTTACAATCTCAATTTTGTTACATTGGTTGCAACCATAGGTGATTAAGGTAATATTGGACAATAACTCTACCTGTCCAAAAATCTAGGTCTTTTCACGCCGTCAACCTACTTGTGATTTTTGAGTGCATTAAATACAACTTTTCCTAATCGGAACTAGTTTATGTCTTACCAAACTAAATGGACGTATATTCCACACGCAATTAGATAACATGATACTTATGAAGAACGTAAACCCAAATCTGAATTACCTAAAAGCAGCTTTCGCAAGAATTTCCTAAGGTTCCAACAAGTGAGATAAAATCAATTTTGTGTTTAATGTTTTGGGTTTAATGAGACACCAAAAAGTCACGTTTAACCTAAGTAGATAACTATTCGCCCGCCAGCCAAATACCGCCACTATGACGTAGGGACAATCAACAGCACGCTGTAGTTAGGTACTATAAACTTTCAGACGTCGTTAATGGCTTAGAGTTCATTTAAATCTTTATTTTGGCGCGCTCTGCTGATTGTAGATATTAAAAATAACTAAACCATGTACTAGATTGATTCCAATTGTTCGTAACAGCGTAATTTAAAAAAACTTTTATTTTGTATTCCTACAAACGTAATAGTGTACCTACAATGCAATGGAAGTACCTAGGTAGATTGGAAGAAACACATTGCCATAAAAAAGGGTACTTAATCCAAGAGAAGTTCGTTCCATGAACGTATATACAGTGGGTCTTCAGTGAAACGCATCATTTTCGTTTAAACCAAACTTTAATACAAAGCATTAACGCAACCGCATCCCGTCACGATGTAATTTTTAGTATGTATATCTCCCTCGACGCCACCTCCTCTTGCTCGAGTTCGGAGTGATTGTCGAAGAAAGTAATTGGTCGGTTCGACCGCCTGTCTCTCTAACGGAGCAGAGGGACTGAGCCTTATAAAAGCCACTGAAAATACATGTCACTCGATAGTTTTATAACTGCACCGTGGAAGTACACTCACAATGGAGTTACCGGTTAGTAAACCCACTCAATTGCAACTAACTCTTTTTTGCTCATTTTTGGCACAACCGATAACCACGTAATGTATTACTTAACTTCCTACTTTTATAATATGGCTTTGTATGGTATTGTGTAACGGGCTGGTTTCCGTGACTCGACGTAGCGTCTATTGTGCCAGAGGAAATTAGTAAGTTTTATAATTTTACTTAGAATCAAATCTGCAATCTCAATCTAACAATGGGATAAAATCACGTAACAAAATAAACTAGGAATAATGTTACAAACAAGTTCATTAAATTAAGAATTCTGAAATTCAACATACATATATACTAAATATAATCTATTAACTGCCTCCGTGGCCAAACGGTTTCCATGCCAGACTGCCACGCAGAGGTCCCAGGTTCGATTCCCGGGCCGGGAGAAATATTTGTATGGCCTACGTTTATTTCTCTCGTGAGAGGCTATTTTGAGTGTGTGCGTTATTATTATTACCTATGTATTAGATATAGTATTTGAAATATGTTTTTGATTATGTTACAGAAATTAATAATATTACTATGCTGCACGTACTACAGTTTTGCATCGGATCATTCCCACATAATTCCTGTGGAAAAATATGAAACAGAACTTCAGGACCTCGGACAACACGTGGATATACCAGAAACTCCTGTCAAAGTTGTAAAGATAACGAAGACAATTGCGGTTAAAATCCCAGTACCATATCCAGTAAAAGTGGTAGAAAAAGTTCCGTATCCAGTTCACGTGTCTAAGCCCTATCCCGTGCCTGTGCCACATATTGTGCATGTTCCTCATCCCGGTAAATCTAAATCTTTCGGAGGACACGAGGCTATCGACGTCAGTCATGCAAGTCTGCAACACGGTGGTCAGGACGATTCCCAATACAAAGTGCAAGATTCACCATCCTATGACACATCAAGCGGCGGACATTCATTCGGACCAGCAGCCGGAGGACAATATTTCCAGGGAAACTCTAATCACGGACAATCGTTCGGTGCGCATGACGACGACCATTCTTTCGAAGGCGGCTCGTATGATGCCCCCAATAGCTATTACGGTTATTCCGGCGACAATGACGGACACGGTTCTTTCGAATCGAAAAGTTACGACCTAGCTTTAAAGGAGTACCTTCAAAAACAGAAGAGCGGAGGAAACTTCCATAACCACTAACTTTCTAAATGAGTTTTCCGACGTGGTTAACCTAATATATATAACTTGTACAGGTACCTGACTGAATATTATGCAATAAGCATGTTGTAATTGCAATACCTAAGTACATTGTGTGATGAAATTAATGGACTCGGAACGAATAACACGTGCTTTTTGTTGTCACCTTTTGTTACTAGATGTGTAATATTGTTAATTTCGAAATAAATTATTAATACACAGTAAATACAAAATCTATATTTATTTAAATCTACCACATAATTATTCTATTACTATTCTACAACTTATATCTAAATTGCCAAGAATAGCATACAAAAACATCATTCAATATTGTATCCGTCCATTACATTTACTTACATATTGCGGTATCTTTTTTATGGTTACGTGATCGCTGTGATAGGTGACCGAGATACAGTTGGAATATACTTTTTCAAAAGCTATTCAGGTTAATTAAACATTACGCATTAAATAATTCAGTAACAAAAATAACAATAATAAAAAACTTCGATAAATTTAGATAATAATTGCATGTCTGGTACCATGATACTGATTGGGCAATGTGATTAGGTAACATTATTTAGATGAAATGTCACAGCAATCTACTAATATGATAGCCTAAATACCTAAAGTACCTATTGCATAACCTACATATTGCTTTCAAAATTAATTTATATAAGTAATATTTAATTGCTTATATGGACATCCATTCCGTAGGTTCAATTGCCAAACTCCTATGTAAATTGTAAAAGACAAGAGCAATTCTTTGGGTCGTTTTTAATCATGAATAATTGAATTTTTCTATGTTAATAATTTATAATATGCACCGATGGTTAGAAATAGTAATAAGTAAGCCTAAAAGACAATTTTATTCCGTTACGACATATTGTGTACACGGCAAATCGCGTCTTCATAACCTACACAATTTACTGCATGTCAGTTGCAAATAGAAAAAAAAAATGGCAACTTATGTGTGTCTGCAATCCATCTAAAGAAATAATTTTGCATTTACAAAGTCAATTCAGGAAGTACGTACAATCTCCAGTCATCATGCAGTATTCCAGGTCCCTCTGCAGAAAAATGATCATAATAGGCATATAATAGGCATTTGTTTGTACGTAGATACTATCATGACCGTCTCACACTGGTGTAGGCAGAGAACATGAAACTATCTAGCTAGTGTTTGTAAGTAAATAATTTTAGTATTAATTATAGTTGAGTACTTTAATTAAGAGATCTTCGTATAGATAGGAGTTAATCTTTACTACTTAGTACATATTTCATATTCGTCATCATCAATCCATTTATACGTCTCACTGCTGGGCAAGGGTCTCCGAGCGTTGTGAACCTTCTTCGACGTGCAAGTGTCATCACGATATTTTCCTTCACCGACAAACTCATGATAAATTTCAAATTAAATTTTGCTCATAAATTCCGCAAAGCTCAGAAGGCGGTAAGTGAAACCATTAGGCTACCACATATTTCATATTATTGATCGATAATATTTAATTGGTCGTACGAATATCCTTTTCCCTTATTACGCTTAACATTATTAGCTAACATAAATAATATAAATAAAATGTCATGCAGGTACCAGGGAGTCCGCTGCGAGAAGCGGGACCCGCAGCGTTACCTTATTGGTGGACCGGTTGATTCCACAAATCAAGGCAACAACCAGTTCAAGTTTACGCCTGCGCTGGACCTACAGCGAGGTCGCGGGATGCTTTTAGGGCGGAGTTCTAAGCACGCTTTTAATTTTAAGCCGCGGGGGAGGCGAGAAATGTACCCGTGGGCGTTTCTCCGCTTTACTGCTGAAGATATCTGCATGTTCCTCGATCGCATCGCATTCTATGTCGTCTTGAGGGACATCCGTCGTGTCCATGCAGTGGTGATCAAAGTCTTCTACAGGCGAAGAGATTATGAGCATCTCTGGTTTGTCCTCCTCGTCCGATACGTACATCCGTGTTAGATCGGATGCTACAGATGCCGTTTCGCATACACTATAACAAAATATTGTTATTTTTGTGTAGTTTCTTGTAAAGGGCGTGTGAATAGATGTTCTTCTGAATTTTGATTATTTTGGGCTAATATCGGAAAAGATACACTAAAAATTAATAGCTTTCAATTATTCTTAATTCATTACTCTGTATGCTATATACGAGTGGTATATTGTAAGTACGTACCTATTATTGCAATACTCCGAATCTTGTATTTGCACGTTGAAGATCGAGTCTGTCTTTACATCTATAACCGTCATGATCGGTGGCACGATACCAGGTATGATAGGCGGCACAATCAGTGGAGGAACCTCTCCGTCCGTAGACCGGCTTTGCATACCACTGTCCGTGTCTTCATCCTTGTTTAATATTGTGCTATAAGAAAAGAAAATCACGCATAGCGTAAATAACTCTGTCTGAATTCTCTCGTAAATACCACTAATATCTATTGCAATATACCAGTCTCGCTTGAAGGAAATCGACGTCGTCGACGACCACGCTTGTCTGAAAAAATCTCATTAGCCAACTTTGTTAGTCAAGAAGACCAATTGTCAATCAAATAACGAATGAAACTGAGTTACAGAAATAATTTAAAAACAAAACGTTATAGTAATTGCCTATCCCGAATTGAAAATGAATTTTTTTGAGACATGACGCATACAACCTTTCCAACACGTACCTTCCTAAATTATTCAATAATTTATGCTCCTCTGACTTTCGGATTAAGTCTAGCCAATTTTGTGTATCTCTTTCGCCACCTTTAGAATTAAATGAGGTACCAGGCCTGAAAATTATGTGACTCTTAGTAATGTTCATAATCAATTGATCACATCCCACGGAATATGTACCAACGCATACAAGGACCTTACATAGGCGTAAAATTGACCATTTTAGCGAGGTGTAATTGCTTTTGTATCTGGTATAGATTCTCAGGTGGAGGTATCATTGGAATGTCTTGCGCATTAAAGAGCGGTGATTCAGTCGGCTGTGATGCGCTATCACAGCTGCTTCCAGATAAATCGCTTATCGAGAACTTGAGTTTAGCTGTAAACGAAAGAAAAATTAAATAAGCCTTTGTACTTGAAGTACATAGTACGTTCAATATAGAAAGTAAATGTAGTATTTGTTTTTATATGATTATGCCAACACAATACACAAAAAAAATATACACCATCAGTCGCATAGTAAGGGAGTAAATACTTTCGCAACAAGAAAAAACTGCTGACTGTAAAACGCTACAAGTATCTCAAAGAACGACACTAATATCAACGAACCTACCTAAAGAATAAAGTGTCACTAAAATAAGTTTTTAAGTAAACTAGAATTTTTTATTAAGCTTTGACATATCGCTATGTTATATTCAACATAATAGTATTATGTCTTGATACAAGCATCAATTTATAAAAGAATATATTATCTAATAGCTATAAAAGAATGTATTACTTTTTCTTTACTTTATTTTTTTTTTAATAAATATTATAATAGTTTATCATATTCATATATATATTATGTAATAGATTTATTATGTATTAGATTTATTATTTATTATATGTACATTTATGTAATCAATTATTGACTTCCTATCTATCTATTACTAAATCTTCATACACCGCCGCCGTGTTCATATAAGTTATAATTACTTCTATCCAAAGGTTGTCTGGCAGGAATCGCTTAAAGCGATAAGACTGCCCCAATGGTACAATTACCACCGCTTATTTCTTTATATTTTAATTATTGTATTGTATTGGTATCTATTTTAGTGTTCAATAAAGAATTTTGCTTTGTATTGAATTACAGCAAATTTTCTATTTAAAGGAGACGGGGTATTTGGACTGTCGTTTTTGATCAAATTTCGAAAAACAATTACCTATACAAAATTGAATCCTATGGCAGTCGACAGATCACATATACAATAAAAATATAAAATAAATATGTATATCGCCAAAAAGGATCAGAAAAATAAAAGTAAATAAAACACTTACAATGATCAACCGGAAATATTTTGCCAGCCATTTCAAATAGTTGGGTAGCAGTCCAATAGTGTGGTATGCGAATGAAAACTTTTCCCGTGTCCACGGGCATATGGAATCCAAGTTTATGCAGAAGCTGCAAGAATTTCAGGTCTTTACACATAGACGCTTGTTCGGTGTTCCACGGGACCAGTGGTATAGACTGTTGGTAAACTGTAAAAGGGAATAATTAACGTAAAATATAGCTGCTCACAATGTAAACGTCAGTTTACATCTCCTTTTTCTTTTAAATGTTGTGGTCCCAAAAAATAATCGATATATAATATATATATATATATATTAATAATAAAAATGACTATGCACGGTATTTTTGTAAAAATAATATAAAAAATATGGCGGACGACGCCATAAGGCACCGACCTCCCAAAAACTCCGTCAGTTTACAGAAATTAGTACCTACCTAAATAAAGTCACACAATTCGTGTGCACCTTCTATATGTCGATTTTATTGCTCGACAGACAATAGGTGTTTATGGTAATTCAAAATGAAATAGACACATAGAGTTTAATCATTTATACCTATCAAATAATTTTTAAGTGAATTTGAATAAAAGAAGAATGATATCTCACAGGACATTAGCGAAATCGCCATTTTTTTTGTATAATTTTTATAATAATACTAAACTACCGTACATAGTTATTTTTACTTGACATTGGCAAAATCATTAATTATTTCGATGGGGCCATAACATTTAAAAGAAGAAGAATAAAATAAGTTTTTTGCAGAATAAAGAATATGAGTTCATTAATTTGTTCACTTACGTAAAGAATGATAAAAAACTGGAGATGGAATAGGTGCGTCGATCTCCTTCTTTTTAAACATTTCAAAGTTCATAATTTTTATTTCATTTTTCAACGGTGTGTCGACATCAGGGTCTAGACAGGCTTTTGTGATTTTGTCATGGTAAATTTTGGCGTAACACGTTTCTAATAATACTCTTTGGACCCAATCTAAGAAGCTCGATTTTCCATCTCTGACAAACTGTTCACACAGTTTCCCGATCTCATCTCGCCCTGTTTCTTTAGGAAATTGTACTGTTTCAGAAATCTTTTTGCCGATTTCGCTAGACGCCGATTCGAATTCCTCTTTATTTATCAAATTCTGCTTAAAAAGTTCTGAAAGCACGGATTCTCTGGTCTTAATAATACCGTCTTCTTTAAACATCCTAATGACTTCACCAACCGAATCTGGAGACGAACTACATTGCACATAAATCCAGGTTAATGAAGAGACCTCTTCGTCTGTCCACCTGTAATTAAGATACACATGATCAGAATCCAAGTTAAGACCGTTAAATATATCCAGGTTTAAAGGATACACACGAAGTCCCAGCTTTGCATAAATAAAATCAATATAGTGTGTTAATTGCCCAAAATTTGTTATACTAAGTCGGCACACATTTTCGTAATATTTGTAAGTACAGTTTTGAATCCAATTAGCAGAGACAGAAACAGTCTGTGTGCCACGTCTAGTGCTATGTGATATTGATCTGAGAAAAGTGTTCAAAGTTACACAATTTTTGTGTGTATAAGTTTAGCATAATAAAAAATAAAAACGTCTGACTACTTCTAAGGCACTTCTGGGTGTGACCAATTGAAATTAAGGGTCGTATTCCAGAACTCTACTCAATGCTCAAGTCAGGATTTGAGCAGACTTGAGTATGATTTCAAGCACTGGAAATACGACCATAATGGCAAGGACTTGAGTATGATTTTCAGTGCTCACTGCGTTACTCAAGTCCTGACTTGAGTATTGAGTAGAGTTCTGGAATACGATCCTAAGGGTCGTCTTCTAGAACTCTACTCAATGCTCAAGTCAGGATTTGAGTATGGTTTAAAGCACTCGAAATCATACTCAAGTCCATTAGGGTCGTATTTCCAGTGCTTGAAATCATACTCAGATCCTGACTTGAGCATTGAGTAGAGTTCTGGAATACGGCCCTGAGAGTCGGTACTACCTCAGCTCGAATTCAAATTTTTCCCGTACTGGATCGGTTCTGTTGCGCGTGCCGTGCGGCAGAGACACTGGCTTTATTTCAAAATTTATTTTTTTACAAACGAAATTAAAGCCATATGAATCTATTCTGTTCAGCTACTAGATTTAGTGGATGTACTAAATCTATGGTTCAGCTGATATAAAAAAAAATATTGGTATATGTAAAGTACCTATTGAATACAGTTTTATTTTTGTACGGTTTTCTTGTAACATTTCGAAGTTTGTGTTTTTTTTTTCATCGTGTAAATTATTAGGACTCGTGTTTTCACACCGTATACTAATCAAAACTTTAAACCATCGTTTCGAGCCTTTTACTAATCAAAACTTTAAACCATCGTTTCGAGCCTTTTACAGGTGGTTCCGTGACTCATGAAAAAACTAAGTTTTGAATTATATCAAAATCAAACAAATATATTACGTAAACTGGTTTGAAACAAAAATTCTTTTTTTTTTAATTCTTTTCTTTTCTTTAAGAATTTTTGCATATGCTTATAATGCTTTAATTACAGCTAATGTTGCCTTACTTGTCTTGAGATAAGTTACTTGTAGTAGAAACCGGAAGCTGTTTTTTCTCGGTTTCAACTGGAGGTTCACTGTTCTTGAGTTTGTCCCCTTGTCTAAGATTATGTAACAGTTTATCGTCAACAATTTTATCCGCAACTAAGTGGAAAGTAGCTGAACTTCTTGATATGTGGGGCTTCTTCACGAACGTGTTTATGACGTACTGTATGAGATCCGACCAATCCTAAAAATAGAGCAATAATGTTACAAATTCCACAAAACCATATCACAATAATAAAATTAACCACCTTGTTGGCCCAATGGTTTGCACAGTGAACGCTGGATGAGCAGGATCCGGTAGGACCAACATTTTGAGAAATGAACTTTTCTAAATTGTTTCTAGTGCTTTGGGTAGTGCCCCGGAGTAAATTCCGTTGCTGTATTATGCATATCTAGTATAGGGAATTCCCAAGTTTGAGATCAGGTAATTGGTGTGGTTGTCTGGCACATTATTATTATCTGGTTTTTCTATAATTGTAAGTCAATGGGTTTTTCTATCTTTTTCTCAGCCTGGTGGCTGATTTTAACCACACTTACGGAACGGAACCAAGTAAATTAGTTACTATTATTTTATTCTACGTTTATCATTTGACGTGAAAACAAAGAATTAATTACTTTTCGGGATTTTTATAGCAACTGCTGCACGTAGTTGAAAAACACAGGATACAAAGATTATTTTCGAAAGGAAAATCAAAAAGAGAGCCTTTATCAATTCTTTTTTAATAGACCTAAATATTTTACCACCAAGCAAATGCATACAAATACTCAATGCAGTAGCGTCATCGGCCGTCGAGAAATTTTGATTTACACAAAACACAGTGGCTTGTACCGATAATACCACTTTCATTACTCACATCACATATTTCAAATTCCGATTTCCAAATGGACGTGAACGTTGTGAGGATCGTCGGTTGAAACAATGTGCTTAGGCTGTCAAGTTCGCCTCCTACATGATGCATCAACGTAAAAATGCAGTCGTTGACGAACTCGCCGTTACTAGGGTAGTCCTCTAAGAGAAGGCCGTATTGATACATTATATCTGCCGTTGCGAACCTATAAAAAGTTTTTATTCATCATATATTTACTTATATAAAGCTGTTTTTTTTTATAATACATAGTAATGACACGAACATGTCGTGCGCCTGCTGGTGAGCTGCATGCCTGCGCATAACAGGTCAGTGCCACTCAGAGCTTTAAATTACAATGATCTGAGGGGCATGGCCACTGCTCCCCTCCCCCTGAGACATAAGTTGACAAGTCCCATGTGCCTATAATTTCACCAGCACCCTTACCCGTCAAAACCAGAAAGCAATAATGCTCACATACTGTTTGGCGGTAGAAATAAGTAAGGTGGCAGTACTTCCCTGGACGAACTCTTTCACAAGAAACTCAAGTGCTACTAAATAAACTGTATGTATGTCGCGAAAGCTCAATAAAATAAGTTATGTTAATCTAACAAATTATAAATAGAAATATAATAAAGGAAAATACGGTTTGGCGGAAACCAATGTATAAATAAAACACTTCCGCAAATTACGTCTATGGTGACGTAAATAGGGTTGGTACATGAATGACGGCTTTTTACTTTGGAAACGGCCGGCAATAATATTAATACTTAATAGTTTTTAAACTACAAATCCGGAAGAGTAATAAGTCGCTTAAACTTACTGTTTTATGTGATCAATCATGTAATTGGGGCCCTTATAATCTGAGAGTTTCATGACGCTGTCCAAAAATATTAATAGAATGTGATTTGTTACCACAAGATCCTGCAAGTAAATAATTTTATAGATTAATACGTCGCTTTAATTCTAAACAACGCTATCTCCATGGATGTATCCATGTAGATAAAGTTATTTGACATTAATGCGAAGAATTATAAATATTATCATGCTCAAAATTGGTTAATTAATAAGTGGAATAAACGTTTTGAAAAAATGCACTCAATAGTGATACCACAGCAAGGGCGGGCAGCACAGCATAGCAATTATAGCAGCAGTAACTTTTTAAGTTAATCTCCAGTTGTTTAATTTGTTGTAACAAAGGAAGTAACAGTGTCTTGACTACGAATTTAATGTAATGGTGAATACTCACTTGAAGATACTGTTTAGTGTGATATTTAGGATTATAATGGCGCAACAGAAGTATCAAAAGTGATCTCAACTCGTCTGCTTCGCACATTTTAATCTGTAGCTTAACGAGCGCGCCTTCATCTTCGCTACACACGTTCATCTTTTTGTACAGCTCGATTGCTTGTACAAACTCCCTTACGGCAGTGACGACCTTAAAAAACAACGTATGTAAAGATAGCTAAATACTGTGAATGTATCAATGCGTGTATTCAATGTAAACGATATAACGTCACGCAAAATGCGTATGTCGTATGCGTCTTTTGAAACCATACGATTTTTAGTAACTTTCCCAACTTCGAATAACCCATTTCGATATACCTAAAATTCGTACGAAGCGTTACGTTTCCATATTATACGGCGTACGGCAGCGTAGCGGAATTCCCCGGCCTGGCCTGGAATTTGAGCCTTTTCAAGGCGTAAGTGAATAGGTATTATATAAGTATGCATGCTCCATCGTCGACCTCATCTCATCGTCACTTTCCATCAGGTGAGATGGAGGTCAAATACGCGTTTAGTTACCCTTAAAATAATTTTAAATTCCTTATTGCGATTGTAAATAGACGAATAAATATTTCTTTCTTCATTTTCTTAATGGACATGTTTGTATAAGTAATTAAGATATTTAATAATCCTTTAAGTTAAATATCGTCAGTGTTTTGTAGAAAGAGCGTAAGCACCATTTCGAAAACTTTTTCAGGGTAGATGTTTTAGGTTTTCACCACTATTTCAAATTATATATACATCCTGTTTTAAATTAAATTTTCGATTCTATTAAGTTGAAATTTTCTTTCTTTTTTGTTTTGCTAGCCAATATGTATGAGTAATAAAATATTTGAATATAAAAACATCTCTAATAGATGAATACTTATTAAAAACCAGTATAACCACATATCTTACTCGCTGAAGTATCATATTAAAAGTGAATCGATTACAATTTCAACAATTTATATTCCATGCGAAAGGTATTGAACTCCAATACATTTGTCTTACTATTAAAAAAATACGAATATGCATGGCAAACATGTGTTTAAACGAGAAACCCCCGATGCGAAATGTAAAGTACATAAACGAATAATAATATCCAGCATGTATCGACACGTGAGTGTTCTCTAGAATGAAACTACGTCAGCGTCAAACAAGTTATGTGCAACGTCACAGTGCCTGCACGTGGCAAAGGTAATAAATGCTTCACTCATCACTACGTTAAAGTAACATCAAGCGAATAGAGCGGAATAGTACGGATAGCCGCTATAAGCTTGGTGTCGCCAATTTAGTGGTTTAACCCAAAAATACAGTATAAATTAATGCAGTAATAAATTTCTTTAGAATTGATTTGTTTTTCGTATAATAAAAATCTTAGAGCTTAGTAAAAATTAATCGTTGTGGCATCGGGCATTTATTACTTTACTTGTAAAATAATAAATAAATAGCAAATCCCCGACTTCGTTGTCTAATTTTAGACATTTCGATGCCTTACTTTCTCAATCTCGTATCTTATAGAGTAATTATTCAGGAGATGGCAAAACTTTCTATTTATTTTAAATTTCTTATCAAGGGTGTTAATTTAGATGCATTACTTTAAGAATAGGTAAAAGTCAGTGTGTGAATATGAAGGAAATGTTGTGTGAAATCAGCCTGCAAAATTTAATCCAATTAAAAATCCAATTTTTGCATTTCAGTAACTTTGTGCTTTTAGATACGAGTGTGAGAAAGTAAGGCGACGATTTATATATTTATTTTGGCATTATTCAAACTATTATTATTATTATTATTTTGACATATTGTTACATTTTACAAGTATTATCATTAAAATTGATCCATATGTATAACTACCACTGCGTTTCAATTACGGATTGACTTATTAATTAAATTCTTGTGTGCACGCCCATATGACGTTATTAAAACAAATGTGTTGAAGTACATACCTACATGCATTAATTTTAAACTGTTGTTAATAATTTTGTTTGTTTTGTTAAGGTTTTTAGAAGTCGCCTTGTGGCTATTTCAATATGGCTCTAAATTGCTCTGACGCTATACAAAGGTTTACACAGTATATTTACCACATGGTTCCACTTCTACACTTGCATATGCCAATGCCAATGGTAATCAAGGAAAAATCGGTTTAATGTTGTCTATGACTGACAGCATAGATTATGTTATATAATTATCCTGCATTAAGAATTCATAATTAATGTATACTACCTATTAAGATAAGTAAACATTTTGTATCATAGTTGCCTACCGTAGAAAAATGAAAATCGTACACGCGCCCCTCATAAATTAAAATTGTTGAGGTTCTATACCTATACATTTATACTGGCCGCTTAGTTTGTTTATATTTGTCAATAGCTGTACGATGATATGAATTGTCATCTTCTAAAATATGTGGTTGTTTAATTTCTGTTCTGGTGAATATATATTATTATAACTGATATCTATACTCTACGCCATTCCAAACATGGTAGCAGAGCTTTTGAACAAGAAGTGAAAAACAAGTACCTAACTAAAATGAGTAATAATATCGTAATACCAATTTTTAACGGAACGGATTATGCCAATTGGAAAATTCGACTATTGAAATTTCTTCAATTTAAGAAATGTAAGGAAGTAGTTATTAGAATAAAAACGGAAAAAGATGACGCCACTCAGTAAGATGAAATAGATGTGATAGCTACAAATTATACATACAGCGCAATTACCAATCAACAGTTGGAACATATCAGCGAGTTAGAGTCAGCATACAAAATTATTTTAAAATTTGACGAAATGTATTTAAAGCAATCTATAGCGTTACAAATTGTATGCAGAAATAATTTAGAACATATAAAGCTAGCAAAATATTCGGATGTTAATATTTTTTTCGAAGAATTCGGACGATCTGTCAACAATTTAAAAAAGGCCAGCGCCATGATATCGGAAAGTGAAAAATTAAACTATATGTTAAAAGCGTTGCCCGGAAATTACAGTTACATTGGCGATTTAATAGATGTTTTACCAGAAAAAGATATTTTTTTTTTATTTTTAAAAAGTAAAATAAGAATGAAGAAAATCCAAAATGCAAACGAAGAAATGCCGAGTACATCGTACTTATTCAAAGTGGTATCGGAGAATAAGCGAACATGTTTTACAAAGAGACTGTTGGAACGGAAACCGCGGACGCGGACTTTATGCTCGAAGTTTGCTGAATATGTAGCGTTGTCAGAAGCCGTAACTGAAATAAGCTTATTACGTAGTGTATTTGGTGATGTTTTTATAACTTTCGATGCTCCTGTAAACATTTATGAAGATAATTCCGGTGCTGTAGCTATTGCTAGGTATGGTAATTTCACGAAGAACTCAAAGCATATTGAAATACATTACCATTATGTTCATGAGAATGTTAAGAATGGAACTATTGATATTGTTAAAGTTAATTCGGAATAATGTTGCAGACATTCTCACTAAATCGTTAGGAAACATTAAATTCCTTAAATTCAGGCAAATGTTAAATATAACTTGATTTGATATGCCATACTTGCAGTGTTGTTAATTTTATATTATTGATTACTGTTGCCGTATAAATCTAAGGGGGCGTGTTGAGGTTCTATACGTATAGATTTATACTAGCCGCTTAGTTTGTTTATATATGTCAATAACTGTACGATGATATGCATTGTCATGTTCTAAAATGTGTGGTTGTTTAATTTCTGTTCTGATGAATACATATTATTATACCTGATATCTATCGTCTTATTTGCCATTCCAAACAAAAATAAAGATATAAAACTTTATAATAAAACTCACGAGATGAAGTCTCCTTATGCTTGGCTTGAGATCATTCCCGTCGAGCTTGATGGCCAACTCAAACTGTTCGCACAAGTTAACACCTTCCGCGGTTAAATATGATACTATGTCGTAGGACAATACTGAACATACGTGTTCTAAGTCCAGTTCTATTTGAGTAGCAAATTTCAAAAAGTACGTCACAAGCCAAAAAAAATGCGAGGTATCAATTTCCAGCTCCGGATTTGAGAGTATTTGGTTATGTAACGTTTGAACCAACGAGTTATACCCCTTCAGAAGGAAATCAACAGTAAATTCCTTTAAGACATTCGATATGTCATCATCAGTTGGTGTTTTATGCGATATCCCTTGTACATTGATGCTGAAATGTAAAAATTATTATTAATAATTACACATTTTTTGCCTCGACTGTAAGTAAACTTTCGACGAATAAGCACCGAAGTGTAACTTACATATTTGCTTTTCCTCTTTTCACAATTTTTTTCCGCTTTCTATCTTGTATAGTAACACTAGCGCGTACTTTATTATTATTGCCTCTCTGTATAGGATTATGAGGCTTCTGACGAACCGGTTTCTGTGATGATAACTCGCCTTCTTCTCTCGAAGGCGACAAAAATTCCTGTGTTTCGATCAAAGTTCCGTATCCACAATCAGAAGCTTCGGATAATACTGACTGCTTTTCGCTTTTTGGCGACCGTGTAGGACTTATGTCTTGCTGTCCAGTATCGGAACTACTTGGACCATTTTCCTGTAAATAGAATTTTCGACATAAGTTATATATACTATACTACTACTAATAAACACAAAAAATATCTACAAGTAGTTGCTTACGCTATCGGATTTCATTACGACGTCTGCGTTATCCAGTAGCTCGGTTATTTCTGCTGGTTCATCTTCTTTCTGCGGATCCTGTTGAGACTGGAAGTTGTGAGTTCGTGGGGTCTCTGTGGAATTGTTGTCTGACGAGCCGGTCCATTTGTCATTGACAGAATTGAGGTCGTCATTACTTTTTCCACTACCACCAGTGTCTGATGAGTCGGAAGTGGGATCAGACGTCAGCAAAGGTGAGGAATCTTCGCTACCTAAAATGTGGTTTCAAACAAATACCCAAATGTGCTATTACATGTAAAGATTAACTTTAAGCGTGATCAATAACGAACCTCTATTTGGCGGAGATGTATTACTTTCATTATCCTCCGAACTTTCCGATAAGGAAGTTTCGAGCCACATATTCAATAGTTTGTGTAGAGTTACAACGTGCTGGTCTTTGTATAGCAACGCTATTAATTGAACCATTGTAACCCCCCAACTTGTCTGAAATGAAAAACAAATACAAAACACACATCTCGGTTTTTATAACATTTCCAATAAAACATTGTCAATTAAAATAACACATTGATATGATAACTAAGATTTAAATACAATACTGAAAAAGGGAAAATGGAACATACCTCACGTTAAAACAAGTGCAGAAACAACACTGCAAACTGTTACTTACCGCGTCAGGAATAGTCATCAGCTTAATAAGAATTTTATCAATACTTTGACTAAATATATTCCAAAGGATCTGGTTTTGCACCGTGTGAACCGAACCGTTGTTGTAATTGGGGACGAAGCCGGTGATCTCCTCCGGGATGTGCAGGATGTTCCTGAGTAGCAGCAGGCTACTGCTGATGTTCGAGCACTGTTCCTCAGACAGTCTCCCATTTTCTTCGCCTTCTAGGTTTTTCTTTAAAAATCCGATTATGACTTTGGTAGCTCGTTGGTCCATGAAAGCCGATTTCGAAGAAGTAAGTAAATTATTCATTTCAAGCATGGTGTGCCTCCCAAAATCAGTTTTTGAAATTACGTCTACAGAAAGCAAACACTCAATAGGTATAGTTAAATTTTCTAAAATTTTTACTAACAACTCTATTGTTTTGTCTTCCTTAGCGTGAAGTAACAAAGGTATAATATCTTTGTTTATATTTTGCCCGAAACTTATACTTCTCCGGTAATTCCGTAAATACTTGTCCTCAGTAAGTATATTACTAAGTATAGTTTCTAAAGTCGCTGGAATACCAAAAGTAAACAACGTGAGCATACAAAAATGTTATCTAAGAATACTAACATAATTTAAAAAAATATAACCGAACCATTGCAGTTTTCGTTTATGTGATATCCATCTGGGTGGACGAAACCAAGATTCGCAAACGTGCTGTGCATCTGTGGACTTCGGAGGATCCATTCCATCTTCTACCTGAAATTAATATGCTCAAATTATTAATTATTAACACTTCTGAAATCTATTTGTAACATAATTCACATGATATCAGATTTTTAAATTCTTAAGCAAGATAATGCTCTCACCGGCATCAATGAATATGAAATAACTAAAATAGCGCACGCGATTGCGATTTTTGAACAACCAATTTAACACCCAAACGTGCTGTTTTACCAACAAAACTGTAATACGTGCAACTAAGTTGGCTCCGCTTCCCCAACTGGATAAAATGAAAAAAAAAAGTGTAGGAGGCACAAGGTAGACCTACAAACTTTTTAAAACAAATTTGAGCAGAAACAGGAAATTTCTCTAAAATTAACTTCGTGATAATCCCACACACAAATTTGGAAGGTTGCTAGTAAAGTTGTACTAAATAAAAGGGCACCTTTTGTTAGAATATTTATATGTTTGCCTTGTTTATACTATAATATAACTCGAAAAAAGTACGTCGTACAAACACAACAAGAACAAATTTCAAAATAGACGCCCAGTAGGCGTAAAGGACATAAATAACGGTTGTTAGGCTCATGTTTTTTTTTACAATATCAAGTGACGGGACGAACAAGTCGTGCGCCCGATCGATGCTAAGCTACACGCTTGTCCCTAACAGTTGCAGTGCTACTCAGAGCTTTAAATCACCGAGACCCCGAGACCCCGTCACCTACCATAAGTTGACAAGTCCCATGTGTCTGTAATTTCACAAGCAACCTTACCCTTCCAAACCGGAACGCAATAATGCTCACATGACTGCTTGGCTGCAGAAATAGGTAAGGTGGCAGAACTTCCCTGGACGAACGCTTTCACAGGGAGCTCTACTGCTACTGCTTTGTGATTCTTGACGGGGTAATGAACCAGTTTAGCTGACCCGCATGACCCAGTCTTAACAAGGTGTTAACAGCAAAATTGAGAAAGTGCAAATATCGCATTGAAAGGGCAACATCGTTTAGTACTACTGACAATGACCACATTGGCCCATCAGTTAATACGAACTTTGAAACTTAACAATAGGTAGTGGACTACGAAATTCAAGATTAGTCCGAATGTGTTTGGATGGCGCGAACTTCCGCGAACCAATGCAACAGATTCCATTAACAAGAGTTATTATTAATTTATATTACCGAGATACAACTATGTACGAGAAAAGCTAATACTTGCGTTGAACTACATATACTCATAATATAAGAGCCCTGTACCCAACCTACGGTGAGGTCGGACTCGGTCTGCAGCGCGTGGTCGGGTTTAGATTACGGGATGTACTTTTCGGTGGCACAGCTTTTGATGAGGAGGTTCCGGGTTCGATTCCCGATTTGGGCCAATTTAGGAAACGAATATTTTGGTCTGGGTATTATGTATATTCATACACCAAAATTCTGGTCTCAAATTAGGGAATTTCCTATACTGTGAATATCAGAATAACGATAACTCTGAGGGCAATATCCAGAATAACCGGACCAGAATGTTCGTTTCAAGGAATTATATAAGTCTTTATCTATAGAGTAGGTATAGCAACAAGTCATCTGCATATTGTAAAATATTAACAGTATTACCGTTAAGAGACGATCTAAATCATATACGTAAATGTTACATAGAAGTGGACTAAGGACTGAACCTTGGGGTAAGCCAGTGCGAGAAATTTTTGAAACATGGGATATTAGTGATATAATTCTTTCGGGTAGAAGATTAATAATGAAGTTAATCAGAGTATAAGGAACACATAATTCCATAAGTTTTCGTTTAAGGATGGAGATTATGACGTTATCATAAGCAGCTGATATATCTAAAAAAGCTGCTACAACGCATTTATTCCAGGAGAAGGCTATTCGGATATCAGTGGTGAGGATATTGATACTGTCTAGTGTACTTTTTCCCTTCCGAAATCCAAACTGGCTGTCAGTCAACTTTCGATTATTCTCAATAATATATATGATATAATTAATACTGCATAATACTGACGACGGAGCTATAGGTATGTACGATGCTGCATCGTCAGAGGGCTTGTTAGGTTTTAAAATAGAAGTTCTTGAGATCTCCATGAAAGTGGAACGTTACCAAACAGCATAATGTTGTTAATTAAATTTAAATAATATTCTAATGAAGGCTCACTTAAACGTGATACAAAGGCGTATGGTATACTATCTTCTCCCGGTGCAAAATCCTTGATGGATGAAAGAACTCCTTTTAACTCGGAAATATGGAAGGGTGAATCTAAATAGGAATCAATTGAATTGGTTACAGCATTCGAAGAAAGCAATAGCTCTCCCTCAGGGACAGAAGGGGGCCAACCGGTCTAAAAAGTTGTCTGCTATAGATGATGAAAGAGTAGTGACATAGCTGATGATTGAATGCAGATCTGAAACGTTTTATGTTACGCCAAATTAATGATGTGCAGATATTCGGAGATAGTGATGTACAAAATGTCTTCCAGGCTTGTTGTTTTTTCTCACGGAGTCATTCGTAAATGGATTTGATGGTATCTTGTAAAACTTTTAAGTTTTCATCAGACATATCTTGAACATACTCTATTTCTACCATTTTCCTCCTACATACAGCTTCAACACATTGAACATCCCACCATGGTGGAAAAGGAATCTTCGGCGAAGAAGTATCCTTAATGGGAAACAATTGATCTGCTACATCTATTATGCATTTTGCAAATTCCACAGCTCTTTCAGATTCTGCGCCAGCGACCATTATTCGGGAGTCCGGAAATTTTACGTTCAACCATAGTTTTAAAACATTTAGTCGTCTCACTTTTATAACTTTTCCACAACCTACTGGAACAGACACATTTTCTTCAATTTCATCTACGGTCCAATCAATTCCTAATGATTCCACGATATTCCACGAATAAGACCCATTCTGGTAATACTGAAAGTGGCAATGAATGCTTTGAAATTAGACTCTGGCTAATTTTTATTAGTAATAAAATCATTGGCAGTATTGTGGGTAGAGAAAGCCACAGCGCACCGATTTCTACCTATTCGCTTAACACTGCCGAGAATAATGTTTTGGATAATGTTTTTCTTTACAAAGCCAAAAGCCATTGGATGCAGAGTAGTTCCACTATTTGGAGAAGATTCTATTCTTTGTACATGAACAACACATGGTTGCACATCTGTAGGAAGGTATTCCTTTCGACCAAAAGATTGTTATGAGGTTCTATAGAAACTGTTGGTTGAGTATTTGATATTTGATACAGGTGGTTGAACAGTAATTAGTTTAACAAAGGTTTGTGGATAAGAAGTGACACTCGATTTGTGGGTGTGGGATTCCTCATTATGATCAATTGAAGTATTATGGCAAAGACAATACGAATCTTTATTGTCAATTGAATCGGCCTTCTTCTTCCTTCGTTTATAAATATCTGCAAATTTTAGGTTGATAACGTCGTTTCAGTGACCCTTTACCCATCGATGCGGAAACACTAGATGTATCCTTGTCCATACCACTCTGATCATCAGTTGAAACAGTAACAGTGTTGTTCAAATCATTATCCGAAATAGTGATATAACTTGCAAACAAGGGCATTCACGCCTGAGCCCAAACCCCCCGCGTCTAAATCAGGAGAATCATTCATGCAACGACTATCAAGTGAAAAAAATGTACAAACTTACCCGAATTACAGGAAGAAACTAAAAGAATACAGTTATATAAACTAACTACAACAAGTATTTACAAACTGTAGCCTCAACTGATCAATGAAAAAAAATTATGAAAAACAGTAAAAAACAAAAATATTTTTTTTCCTTACGAAAAACTCTCCTATACTCGATGCTCTTCCGCCTCGTACGAAGTTTCCCGCACTTTCCGTACTGATACTCTTTGACAAAATTCAACACTAAAACAAAACATTATCACTATTGATAGTGATTTGTTGGGATCATAGTTTCTGTGAATGTGCTCGTTTATAGATTGAAGTCTTTGTTATATACCACTACTGTCTAAATGCTAGTCAAATTGTTGTAAATACTATAATATTTTCTGAAACTTATATAATTTTATAGATTGACCAAATCTTCAGTTAATCTACCAAATTGCGTACCTATATCGCTTTTTTGTTCCAATAGCAAGTAGTAATTACGTAGTTGACAAAATTAAGCGGGCAGCGGACCACACGTGATTACCGCAGATTGAACTAAATTGGTTACGTCTGCCCCCAACCCGACACGACCAAATTGTGTTGTTTATTTCCAGTCGTGGAAATTATAGCTTAATTTTGTCACGTCTGCCCCTGACAATTGCAAACATAACTAATTAGCAGTGATCGGAATTGAGGGAGTTAATTTAGCTAAACTTACGAATGACGTGGATATACTCTTCAAGAAATCCTGGGTCTTCTCGGAACTGATTATACTTTAAATTACATATTGTTTAGGAAATGAGACTATTTTTCCGGATTTAAATCGCGTATATTTGTTTTTTCAAACAAACCGACGTTTCGGGCCCTTTACAGGTCCCATGGTCACGGTTGACCACGGTATTTGTTTGAAAAAACAAATATACGCGATTTAAATCCGGAAAAATAGTTTCAATTCCTATGTGTAACAATCGCGAAAACTTAAGAAATCGATACGTATTGTTTATTGAAATTTGAGTATATTGGCGACAAATTATTATTTCATATTAATTATTTGCTACAAATTATTGTCTCAAATAAATAATATTGTGGTTGTGTTTCTATAGGTTCTTACGTATTTAAATACTTCAGCAATTTAAAAAACAAACATGGACAACCTATATTTTGGAATGTTTAGAAAATAAACAGTAAAAACATAAATTTTATACGCATTGATGACGAAATGTTTATATCCATACTAAGAAAACGTTCATACTTTAGGTAGATTAACTTCCTCACTGCTAATGAGTTGCATCTGGCATCGCCATAAATTCAACATTGGCAAAGCATTACTTATTGTTTTTTTTATTTCAATAGCGTTAAATTCAAATATTTATTCACAAAGATAACACACACATCT